AATTCTTTTCTATGGGGTATAGAAGTTTTTAGTATGACTCTATCATCCTTAAAGTGTGCATTTGATCAGAGAATGAAGAATATTTTTATGGAAAAAAAGTTTTTGGAGTATCATCCCTAAAGTGTGCATTCCTAGTTGCTTTTCATTATAGATTTATGAAACTGTCCCTGCTATTGCTTAGAAAAATAAGGGCATAAAGCATAAACCTCAGTGTCCTTGGTGTTGAGTTGGAGTTGTAATTAGCATGTGACATCCATGGGGTTAAGAAAGAGCATTTTTTATTTGATTAAAGTAAGTTTTGTACCCTTTTATTATTTATTTTATGTCTTTAGTTTTTTATGTTATTTATATGATTATATATTTTTCAGTTGGAAGTAAATCAAATTGTGCCTCTTGAGGCAGAGAAGGAAGAAGAGCATGCAATTTTTTTATTTGTTGAAGGTTTGGGGGTGACCAGGATGACGATGATTTTGAGCATCCTGTTGTTCAACATAAAAAGTTATTGGATTGAAGAAAAGCAAAATTTGTTGATCGAGCTGAAAGTTCTGTAGAAAAGAAAAACAAATGGAAAATTGACAAGGTTTGTGGGTATTTCTTCTTTTTACTATTTCTATCATTTCAATTTATTGCTTCTTATTATTCTGTGTTCTTTTCAGGAAGTCCAACAGTCGAATGAAGAATTTTTGAGGTGGCTGTCTGAGATTGAAAGTTGTTTAATCAAATGATCTAATTTCAAAATGTATTTCTGATCTCGAAGTTAAAGTTTAGTCAAACCTAATTGAGGACCGTCTAAAAGATGTTGAAGAAATGATTAAAACGAATGAAGAATGAATGGAGCGTTTACAAAATTTGGAATGCAAAGTAGACGAGATATTAGCTGTTAATGAAGAACAAATGAAGGTCTTTAAGAGTTTTAGAGTTTAAAATTAATACTGGTGACTTTTTGTTGAGTTTTTGTCACTTTTTTTAACATATTGTCACTTTTGAGTATCTTTGTGACTTTTTTTTGTAGGATGGTGTGAAGAGTTCACTCGATGAAATAGATAAGGTGTTTAAGGACTTCCCTAGTTTTCTTTAGGTATTGAGTTTGAAATAAGTGGTGGGGAAAAAGATGTTGAGGTGCTTGTTGGAAAAAAGTGAAGTTAAAAAAAGTGACAAGATAGTGGAAAAAGACGACAAGAAAATTGAAAATAATGACAAGAAAATTGAAAAAAATGATAAGGCACTTGAAATGAATTTAAATGATAAAATAGAATTTCATGAAGATAATTGGTTAAGAGTTGTTAATATTGTTGTTCTTAGTTTAGCAAAAAATCAAGTACCCGTGTTTCATTTTATTATATTTTTTCCTCATAAATTATGTTTGTTTTTACATCAATATAATTTGACATTTGTATTTGTGTATTTTTCATGTTCCAACATATTGCATCACCATCTAATAAAGGCAGAATTGAAGTGCTTGACAAGGAATTTGAATTGAAAGATGAAGTTGAAGCTAAAACTAGAATTGAAGAGGAAATTTTTAAACTTATTGATGATGATGTGACCCTAGAGATGCATTTGAAGAGACAAAAGAAACCTGCAGCGCTTCTTCAGTCCTCCTAGGTCAATGAATGTGATTCTACATTGAGGACTAAGAAACGTGTCATAAAAGACACTTTTGCATACCCAGTTGGTGTGAGCCCTCCAATGGCACTTGATGTTTATGCTTTTGAACTTTGGTACATGAAGGGATTGATAAAAAAAAATAAGTAAGTTGTTACCAATATTTATTGTTTGTGAATTTTTTTTAGTAAAGTGACATTTCATGTGACT